CATGACAAATACAGACAGAATAATGTATCATCTGTAAATCTTTTGTTTGTTTAATATATTAATAGGTCAGTGGAATATAATAAAAACAGCCAACTAATGACCTTGGTATGATCTCTTATGTGCATAAAGCAACGTTTGAATAAAAGCATATGGCAAGCATTGACTGGACAGAGGCATGTGGTTAATGATGAGCACTTCTTTAGTATAAACTCACATGCAGTAGGAGTGTTCGCTGAAATGTAAACTGTCACACTCTCTTCTCTGTCTCTCATTCCAATATAAAGGAAAAAGTATAAACCCAAGAGAATAATATTAATATCTGAGATTAGCAACGTGCCCATAATCAGTTATGTGATAAACCACAGTTCAATGTGCACAATATTGTTTTGTGGATTTGTCAAAATACTGTCACAACATCTACATAGGAATAAACAGCCAGTAATTTATGACAGTGACTCGTAATTCGTTGGCTACATCTAGTTCTTCATTACAAGTATTATCTCTGTTTAAAATGATGAGCTGTGTTTATCTATCTAGACAGCAATTTAAGAAAAATTTATGCAATTTTTTTTAAATTCACATGCATAGATTGCAAATGAGATGCAGCCAAGTTTCATTTACTAATGAGAACAGGTATGCTCTAAGATATAAAGGTACCAAACTGTACTTTTCCTTGTTGTTGTGGTGGTACCATCAAGGGTTCAGCTTTTGTACCTTTAGTATGTCTCTTTTACCTGGAAAGGTGCATGTGCTACATCTTTAATTAGCTTTTGGAGTAAAGCTTTAAAAAGGCACACCAGTGGTCCTTAAGGTCCAATTATGTACTTTTAAATTTCTTAAAGGTAACACAATATAGTCACGTTTCCAGGTGAAAGATACATAGTAAAGCTGCAAAACATGCAGCCTTGATGCTACCACTCCAGCAAAGGGGAAAAGTACAGTCAGTTACCTGAGAGTGTATAGGTAAACATGTAATATTTGTTTTAATAAAACAGCATGACCATAAAACCACGATAAACTGTTGGGCAATAATCATGATAAGAAAGGCACATTTCTACATGAGGCAGAAAAATATTTCACAACCGAGCATTGGTTAAAGATCAATCCTTCATTCAAAACTAAAGTATGCTTTGTTTTTGTACGAATGATAACTGGTACTTGGCTAAAATCATAAACCTGTGTATGTCTATGTTGGACAAAAGAAAAATCTTATTGACACAGGCGTGTTTGAGGAAGGAGGGCATGGGGTCAGAGTTCTGGCCTTGTGCTTATGAAATGCGGATTATGTGTCGTCTCTAAATCCTCTATCTGCTTATCCACTAATGAGACAGTACGAGATGATAAAAACGGACTGCGACATTGAATAACGATTGATCTCTGTACACAAAGGGCACGTCCGTGCACTTGATCACATAGCTCCCGTTTAATGAATCCTATTTCCCATCTTCAATGTTAATGCATCATTAAAACTCGACACTCGACACTCGACAGAAACATGAATATACAGCATTAGTCTTTGAATACATTTGCATGGAGTAGGTCTGCTCCGAAATTATCTTTAGAATAGAAATGATGCTCAGGTCCTAGAATAATTGGTGAAGTACCTGAAGTACGAATACACTTTTGTGTAGGCTCAAGTGTCCTAGTAATTGATATTCAGGTTTCGAGGTTTCACTTGTAGAAATGGTAAATATGGGGTTTGATAAGGAGGGCTTGAGCAATATAGGCGATATTAAAGTTCCACAAACTTACTGACATTTCCAGAAATCACACTGATAAGTACCAAAAAAATAGCTATTAGGTATTTAGCGTGTTGTTTTTTTCATCCAACTAATTGATTAATTGGAAAAAAATAATCAATACAATGAACTATTATCAAAATAATCATTACTCGCAGCCTAGCCATGATATAGCCTCCAATCATTTGTTAATTTAACATTCACTTCACAATATACACAACAAGAATAGTTTGTTTTTGCATCCAAACCGAGATCATCCCTTCTTTCAGTTTAATAGTGTATCATTTGAAAAAAGATAAATCATTCAGAATGCAGAAATCACAGGGATCATCACAGCTTAGGCTTTGCTTGAATCTTATTGTCAACAAGTGATCAGCTAGTAATCCAGTTGGACATGTTCAGCACAATCCTCCAAAAGCACAGAATGCAAATCTTTTTTTTTTTTTTTCCACAAAGTGCTTACAAAAATATTTTAGTTTGGTCATTTGTCAAAAGTTTGTTTGCTTATTCTGAATGTCACTCAGGCAGGCAGCCAATGATGTGTGCAGTCACAGCTGTAAAAGCGCAGCGTGAAAGGAACAGTCATGCACTTCACTTTGATCAGTCGTGTGGCACAGACCCACAGCATCCAAGCAGAAAGTGAAATGTGGATTTATTTCATCTACTTGATGTTTACTTTTATTGCTTTATGTTATTAATGTATTTTGAATTACTGACATTATTATTGGCTTGATTTTTTTTTATTTCATAAATCTTTGTGAGACTTCTTTCTCCTGAAGCTCTTGGACAGTTTTGAGAGAAGGCAAGAAATGACCGATAGGTTACAGCATTGTCAGTGATGCACAAATCGCTTCCATTGATTTGCCACATGGATGCCTGGAAATTATATAACACCATTGACTTCAGCCATTTTTTTAACATTCTAGCCTTTTTTTGTGATGGTGAAGTCATGTATGACATTGCTTTAATTACACACATTGTGGATTATTAGCCTACACCAGTATGTGTTTTATGTCTAATGAGCAACTGGTGATAATTTCATGTACATTATAAGCATAAGACTCTGACTTACATTGTGGGTAGTTACATTGTGTGGCACACACACTACTCATTGTCACTGCTGTGCTGAGAATGATCCACCTAAATAATATCTGATCAGTCATGCTTCTGATCGACTGAATAGTGTGTTGCTATTAGCATAGCAACAGTCAGTAACTGTATACCTACATGGATGTGACCTATATGTGTCCCTATTTAACTGACATGTATACCTATTTAACCTATATCTATACCTATTTAACTGATATGTGTCCCTATTTAACCTATATGTATACCTATTTAACCTATGTGTCCCTATTTAAACTATATGTGTCCCTGTTTAACCTATGTGTCCCTATTTGACTGATATGTGTCCCTATTTAACCTACATGTATCCCTATTTAAACTACATGTGTCCCTATTTAACCTATATGTGTCTCGATTTAACCTGTGTTCCTATTTAAATTATATGTGTCCCTATTGAACCTATATGTGTCCCTATTTAACCTACATGTGTCCCTATTTAACTTATATGTATACCTGTGTGACCTACTTGCATACCTCTGTGACTTATATGTCTTATGTATGACTTATATGCAATAAAGGGTCCAGTGGTAACTCAGTATACAAATGCAATTAAATTGCACAATTCAGGAACTGGGAAATATATATTTTACCACCATGAAGTACGACTTATTCCTGTTTGCTAATAATACTAATACTAATACATACTAATGCATGTAGTGCTCTCATCCATGTGTTTTGGTTGCTGTAATAAGCAAAATAGTAATTTTATATTCATTCATCTTGAGTAACTGCTTTATCCTGGTGAGTGTTGTGGTGGATCTGGAGTCTGTCCTGTGAATACTGGGTGTAAGGTGGGAATACAGCCTGAATGGGACGCCAGACCATGGAAGGGCACAATGCACACACACACACTTACACACTCGAACCTATCCACCTGGGAGATGAAAGGAAACCTGGAGAACCTAGAGGAAGTCTATGGAGAAATGGGGAGAACATGCAGAGAAACTTCACAAAGACCGTAATCTGAGCTCAAGATCAAACCTAGGACTCTGGAGCTGTGACGAGGAAGCGCTACCCGCTGTGCCACTGTACAACCTCAAATACCTATAGCTATAAATCTTAATTGTTAATGGCTGTTTATATGCATACAAAAAATCTGACATTAAAAACAGGATAAAATCTGACCACAAAACAAGAAATTCATGCCATGGGCCAAAAAACCCCAATTAAATTTCCAAACTGACAAAAGTTTGGATTACACCCGAAGCCGATGTGTGCGGCACAAAAGATGCACTGAGGAATTCTGGTTACTTGAGCCACATAGGTATAGTTTAGCTGGTGTTTAAATGAGAAAGGAAAGGTCTGACATGTCCCTACCACAGCATTGTGGACAGCAGCCAAATATTTAGTCATTAAAGCTCTTCCTAGCCTGAAAGTAGGGTTTTGCAGGAGTTCATTATCTGTAGCAACTTGACTCATTCCAACACCATATGTCTGGTCTGGCAGTCCAATCACATACCAGTGAATAATACTTCCTGAATAGACACTAACGTTGAATTTTAGCATGTTTGGTTTATTCAGAGCACACCTGCCACATTTCCATATATATACAAAGTGGGTTAAAAGTATGTAGAATAAGAATGAGTTGGGAATGAGTGCATTTAGTCCAGAACTATATAAACTTGGAAAGCTATATAAAGCAGTCATCCAATTATCCACACACACATCAGGCGTAATCCTGGGTTAATTTACAAAATCTACAAGGATTCGCAACCGGGAAAAAACATAAGCCCAGGATAATCCGTGACTGGATAACTGGAAGATTGGTTTTATGCATGTCATACCTGGTAACAATTAAGTGTCTAATGAGTCACAGGTCAGGATTGAGAAATGACTTTAAAATGTACTTGACAGAGGAATGTGTTCTTTTAGGATGCTCTGAGGAATGAATGAAGTGTATAGAAGGATGGAGTGAGATTTTGGATATAAAGGCTACACTATGCTATTGAGAAGACATTCTCAAAAACTTTTCTTGATGTTTTTGATGGTTACAGAATTTCCAAGGCTTTTATAAGCGAGAACTGGTCAGAAGGGTTATTTATTTATTTTTACATTCAAGGCACATGCCCTTACATTTGTCTAACTTTACATAGTTGAGGGTTAAGGGATTTGCTGAGGAGCCCCATAGTGGCAGCTTGGTGATGCTGGGATTCGAACTCATGACCTTACCAGCAAAGGTCCAACGCCTTAACCACTGAGCTACCACTACCCACTACTTTAGTTGGGTTTTTTGAGATTTATCATCTTCCTTCCCTAATTCTAACCTAACGAATTTACCTCAGACCTCCAGACGACGTACTCGTGAGCAGTGGTATGCTGCGCTTTCCTCTGAAGCCACTTTCTAGGGGAGAAGAAGGTGCCCGAAGTGCCTGAACTGGCGAGGAAGGGCAAATCCCAAGCCGTGTTCCTTTTCCCACTTTTAAAGTCATAGTCGAAGTGAAAGCTCGATGACGGCGACGTGTCGAGAGGTGTAGCGGGAGTGGAGAGGGATGGCGACAGCAGCTGATGCGTCCATTTGAGCGTCGTGAGCTTGGAGTGCGGCTGCGTGGTGATTTGGGACGCGACCGGCTCTTCGGACAGACTGGCGCTCTCAGGCTCAGCTCGCGTTAAATCAGAGTCAGCGTCGCAGTTTCGGATTATAGCCGGGTCTAAACTCCGGGTTTGGCGCAGTCGCCGCTTGGTGATGCTCCTGGAAGCCGGGGACGAGCAGGAGAAGACGCTGTGGAGAAGCCCTTGCGCTGACGCCATGGTCGCGGTTCTCACTTCCCTCACAGGACACGCGCCAAAACCTCACGCGCTCGCCATGGCGTCGACCAGGATAAGATCCGTTAATCCGCGCTACATCGCTTCTTTAACTCAAATCCTGCCCTAATAGACTTAGGCTGCGTGTTTATGGAAGGGGCAGAGAAGTGCGCGCTGGCAGTGGAGGCTTCCTCCAGGGACAACTGGTCGAGTTTGGGAGGGAGAAAAGGGTTTGGAAACTCCTGTTGTCTTCTCCCCTCCCTCCACAATCCCACTTTCATTCAAGTAACTACAGGGCAAACATTTTTGAGCGCCTCAGAGCTTGTTTGCTTTTTAAATTAAACTTTATTAACGCTTTGCGGGGTAGTGGTAGCTCAGTGGCTAAGACGTTGGACTTCTGATCAGAAGGTCATGAGTTCAAATCCCATCACTGTCAAGCTGCAAGTGAGCAAGGCCTTTAACTAGTCAGTTGTATAAACGTGTATGTTTACATGCACATTAGTATTCTGCGATTAATCAGAATTTGGCGATATTTTAATTAGTATTGAGTCATGCAAACACTGCATTCAGATTAATACGCTATTCCGATTCCCAACACTGGAATCAACTGTTTTAATCAGAAATTTGTTGCATGTAAACACCTTATTCAGAAAATCCACTGAAAGGAGATATATGCACATGCTCTGTCCGCAAGGAATTGTGGGTGCTAACAGATATGGTTACTAACTTATCTGACCCTTTCCATTTCAAGGCTTATTGTCAGGCATTTTTAATGGTGAGAAGTGTTAGAGTCCTAACTAAATTAGTGTGAAAAAGTAGTATAAAACTAATAACGGAGCATACTCTATAACCAACAGCAGCATCTTGAATCTCCCAGGAAATAACAGCGGGAAAGGAAGAGCGCATGTGTATCTCGGCATACTTACAACAACCTTGTATACAGGAATATATGCCTGTACTCATATAAACATCGTATTCAGATTATGGCTGCAACCTGAATACAGACCTTAAACGGAATCTGATGTGCATGTAAACGTAGTCAATGAGATAAATGTAAGTTGTTCTGGATAAGGGTATCTGCCAAATGCCATAAATTTTTACAGCATAGAAATACACACATGTGAGTTGACCAAAGCTCAAAAATATACAATTAATGCACACATATCATACATTCACACATATTTACACAATATTTACACATCACCAAGAGTTCAGATTTTTAAGTCCATGGATGCTTGTTTCCTGTTCTTCTGTCCATTGTTCTTTGTCTTTTCAGTTCACTCACAATCTGTTTAAACACAATCTCAGAAGGGATATGGCACTGATTGATAATCTTTTTTAGGTCTCGTTTTCCATATTTTATAATTAACAATATATATTACCAACCAGTAAAATTCTTTCACGTTTTCTTAATCAAATTTTTATCAAAAATTCCATACATTATCATTTTTCATTCATGTTTATCTCCAATCCTAGATTTCTCACTTTTTGCCATATCTCTGCTGAGCATGGGCAGTGCATTAAAAGATGATCTATAGCTTTGTCTTCTTTACAATTGCTTTGCCTGAGTCCTGAGGACTCCAAAATATGTCTCAAGATGGATGACATTTAGGTCTTTGTCTACGGCTATGTGTTTACTGCTCTGTGGGCACCACATAGCCATCACATCATGATATCAATGAATCATTTTGACCTTGCTGTGACATTTAGTTTATCCCCTTCAAACATTTTCTAAACCAAAAAAAATGCATCTTTTATTTGAAAAACATGGACTGTCAGAAAAACAAGTACTTGAAATGTCCACTTTTGTTCTCTATATGGCCAAAAGAATGTGGACTCCTGACCATCACGGCCATACATGGGCCTTCCATCTTGTATATTGTAGCATCTAGCATTAAGAGTTCCCTTCTCTGGAACTAAGGAGTCAAACCCAACATGTTCCAGCATGACAATACCCCTGCACAAAGCAAGGTCCATGAAAACATGGTTTGCCAAGGTTGGTGTGGAAGAACTCGAGTGATTTGCACAGAGATCTGACCTCAACCCCACTGAACACCTTTGGGATGAATTGGAACGCCGACTGCGACCTCACTAATGCTCTTGAATGAACAAATATCCACAGCCATTTCCCAAAAGCTAGTGGAAAGACTTCCAGAAGAGTGGAGGCTGTTCTAGCAGGAAATGGGTGACCAAGTCTGGAATGGGATGTTCAAGCACCTATGGTTGTAATGGTCATTTGTCCAGATACTTTTGTCCATATAGTGTATAAACAACAGGTTAAATCTCACATCCTAAAGGCTTCTTGGGTTTGTCTCTCTGGGGAAATTCATTTATTCATCTTCAGTAAGACTTTATACTGATCAGGGTTACGGTTTATCCCGAGCTTGGGACGGTTAATCCTGGGAACACTGGACGTGAGGTGGGTACACACCCTGGAAGAAACACACAAATTCACACACTCATTAACACATAGGGGTAATTTGAGCATAACCAGTCCAATTACAGCCATGTTTTTTAGGACATGTGAGAAGAACTCAGAGGAGAACCTGTTAAACTCCACATAGACAGTAACTCTGGACCATGGAGCTGTGAGGCAGAAACATTACCCACTGCATCAACATAAAAGAGACAAATATTTCCGTGTGGGTAAACTGTCAGGAAAACAAGTACTTCTCCGTGGCATAAACAACACTTTTAGAAATGTTAAATTTTTACCTTAAAGTGTTCTTCAATTTGTCTCTCATTGCAAACACTTAATCTGACTTAAATACAACAGTTATTATCATACTGAGAAAAAGTTCTGTAATATCTTTCTAAATAGGGATAGGAATGAACACAACATTTCATGAATGCAGATCACTGAGATTTCTGTTTCTGAATATAGGTGAAAAATGGTTTTATAATTTTAAAATCTGATTTTAGGTGTTTCCACATTCTTAAGTGTGCTTTATAGGACTTAGAATTGAAATCATAATGACACATAAATTGACACATAGTAGGACACATGCTTTTCGGGGATTTATGAAATACCATGAATGCGCCAATTGGGGAGGTGCTAAGCCTTCGTAAATGTTGCTATCTACTCTCTTTTAAAAAAAAAGGGGGGGGGGGGGGGGGGGGGG